GCCCAAGAGACAGAAAGGGCCACATAAACCAGAGACTTCATCAGCCTGAGACCAGAAGAACTAGATGGCGCCCGGCTACTACTAATGAACTTCCTGACAGGGAACACAACAGAGGGTCACTGATGGAGCAGTAGAACGATGGGGTGCAGAACTCAAATTCTAGTAAGAAGACCAGACTTAATGGTCTGACTGAGACTGGAGGAGCCCCAGAAGGCATGGCCCCGGACTCTCTATCAGCCCAGAACTAAAACAATTTCCGAGGCCAACTCTTCAGATAGGGATTGGACTGGACTGTGGGACATAAAGTGATACTCGTGAAGAGTATGCCTCTTAGTCAAGCAGATACAAGACATCAAAGGGGCAGCTTCTGTCCAGAGGTGAGATGAGAAGGCAGAGAGAGTTAGGAGCTGGTTGAATGTTCATGGGGAATCAGGGGCAGAAAGGAGGAGTGTGCCGTCACAGAATGGGGTGAGCAATTAGTCTCATAACAATGTATGTGTAAAGATTTTGTATAGGAGACTAACTTGAAATGTAAACTTCATTTAATTACAACAATAAAAAAAAAGAAAAAAAAGAACTACTGGACTTAATTAGCCTAATAATGATAGTCTAGCACGTGTATTAAAGGAGCTCTAGTGGAGCTCTGGTGGTTAATCACTCAGTTGCTAACCAAAAGGTCTGTGGTTCGAACCTACCAGCTGCTCCATGGGAGAAAGATGTGGCAGTCTGCTTCTGTAAAGATTACAGCTTTGGAAACCTTGTGGGGTAGGTCTACTTCGTCTTATAGGATCTCTATGAGTCGGGATCGACTCGACAGCAATGGGTTATATCAATATTAGTCTGTTTCTGGACAAATTAATTTGCTTTATTACAGTCTTAATGGGAGCTAGTATACTATGTAGGCTTTTCGTTTCTGCAGGTGAGTGAAACTTCCCAAAGTCAATATCAGCCTGTCATTAGCTTAGCCCTAATCCCATACACAAGGAGTCCTGGTGGTGCACTGGTTAAGTGCTCAGCTGCTAACCTTAAAGGTTGGCAGTTCGAACACACCAACCTCTCCAAGGCAGAAAGATGTGGCAGTCCGCTTCTGTAAAGATTACAGCCTTGGAAACCGTATGGGGCAGTTCTACTCTATCCTCTAGGATGACTGTGAGTTGGGATCAATTTGATGGCAACTGGTTTTAGCACATATGTTTGTTTTGTGCTTTATACTTTATATGAAAATGCTTTTTTATTTTAAAAACGCTCCTCCAACAACCATATGAGGTAAGTACTGTTATTTTATCTTCATTTCACATATGGGGAAACTGAGGCACGGAGAGGTTATGTAACTTGCCCAACGTTGCACCACTAGGAAACGGCAGAGTTAGGATTCCAGAGGAGGCAGTTTGGTTCCAAAATCTGTGTTTTTAACGATCTGACTCTACTGCCTCTAGACACCAGTTCATTTCAAAAACTTGAGATTCTCAAACCTGGCGTGTAAGAGAACAAAATATAAGCAAACTCTTTGGCTATTCAAACAAAAGCCTGCCTCCTCATGAGCTGGGCCAGGCTTCGCTCGTCAGTTTTTAATGGGTATATTCCCCTAGACTTATCAGCTCCCGTGAAATGAAATAAAACAAGAGCATGGTATTATATAGAGTAATATAAAATCATCAGCCTGCCCCTGCCCGCACTATCTTTATCTAACTCAGAACAGAAATTCAAACAGATCAGATTCAACTTCAGCCGGGCTCTGCTCGCTGGCCCCAGCAAATCTGCAGTCTGAGGGAGATAGGATCATCCCTGCTTCCTGATCGGGTGTCTTTTAGGGCTGTGCAAAGCCACCTCAGTCCCGTCAGTTCTGCGCTCCCTCATTTCAGAAGCTCTCAGCTTCCCCAGTACACGCTGTATTATTCTCTGCATTCTGATCTGCTTTTGATAATCCCTTACCCTTTGAATAAAGCATTCTTTATTTATGGTAAAATTACTCCCCGAGCCACTGGAAAGAGGCTGCCCCTTCTCAACTCCTCCCCTCTGGGCACTAAATGGAAAGTAAAAATGACCTGCATTTTGAGGAGAAAACCCTTTTCATAGTTGTAATGAGAATACATCTTCTTAGCCACCAAGATATTATTTCACTGTAAACTCAGATTTCCTGATCTCACTTCTGAGGCCAGCTGGCCAATTTTAGAAAAACCCTGAGGGAAAGATGAAGCTTTGAATCTCCCCGACACCCAATTGGTGATTCCCCTTGAAATTCCCAGAGGAGGTTCAGCCACACAGTAGTTGCTCTTGCTGGGGTTAACAGTCATAAACAGGGTCAAGAAATTCCCCTTTTTCCTTCTTGTCAACCAAGCAAATTAAAAAAACAAAACAAAACAAAACAAAAAGCACTTGTTAAACACTCTGCTTCTAACTGCCTGAAACTTCTGGTAGGTTAGAGACATGACCCCTCCCATCATTGTGTTGTTAATGTTAGATACCGTTGAGTCGATTTTCGACTCATATCGCCCCCTTGTGACAGAGTAGAACTGCCCCCATAGGGTTTCTAAGGAGCAGCTGGTGAATTCAAACTGCTGACCTTTTGGTTAGCAGCCATAGTACAGGGGAAAGACCTGACAATCTGCTCCCGTAAAGATTACAGCCAAGAAAACCCTATGGGGCAGTTCTACTCTGTCACATGGGGTTGCTATGAGTCAGAATCGACTTGATGGCACCTAACAACAACATCATCATTGTACTTATTACACTGTACTGTAACTACTTATTAATTGTCCATCGTCACCGCCAATCTATAAATTCTGTGAGAACACAGGCCTATTTATAGAAGTCACTGTTGTAGCCCTTCTTCCTCGCACAAACAGGCCTTACCATTGACAGTTGAATGAATGAATGAATTCTTGGATTACTAAAACAACTGCCTCCAGACTTGCCTCTAACAAATTTTTTCTACTAGCGTTAAACTAATATAAAATACTGCTTTCATCATATTTCTCTTCTGCTCAGGAATCTACAACATCTTTCTACTGCCTTCTCCATCAGATCTAAATAATGAGGCTTATTTTACCAGGTCCTTGGTCGGTTGGCCCCACCCTACCCTTCAGCCTTCTTTCTACTACATCCCAACCTGCACCTCGGCTCCAGTCCTGAAGGCCTCACCATTTCTCTTCATGGGGCCCTAGGAATTCCAGTCTCCATGTGTTAAGTCATGCTGTTGTCTGCTCCTCCCATTGATACCAACTCATCCTCAAAAATCCAGCTCAAGTCCTCCTTCTTCCATGAAGCCTCCTCAACTTTTCTCACCTACACTGATCTCTGCCTTCTCTGATCTTCTACTGACCTTCAGTTTAATGCTTTAGTGATTCCATTCATGGAGGTTTTGTCCACCCACCTGGATTATAATATCTTTGAGGACAGAAGCCATATTTTATAGGTGTTTTGCATCCTACATAGCTCCTAGCTTAGGGACGACTTCATTCCTTCACTCCAGTTCCTCCTGTTTACCTTTCAACTCTGTCCATCCATAACCTTTTTTTTTTTTTTTTTACTTCACGTAGGCTGTATTAAATACCTTCCGAACAAATCTTAACTTTCTTATTCTGTTTTAAGGGAATATTTTTTTCTTTTTCTCCAGTTTTATTACTTTGAGTGCACTAAATCATACTCAACAGCTCCTTGCTGCCCTGTTGTTGTTAGTGGTTGTTGAGTCATTTCCAACTCATGGCAACCTTACGTACAACAGGACAAAACATCACCTGGTCCTGTGACATCTTCATGATGGTTAGTATGCTTGCTCCATTGTTGCAGCTATTGTATGGTGTCTTCCAACCTAAGGGGGCTCATCTTCCTTGCTCCCCTACCTCTCCTATAGTATCCAGCATACTACCGCAATCTCTAGCATCCCAGATGCCTGATAGGCATGGAGGATAGCCCCTAATATCAAATTATCCATGTTGGGATGTGTAGAATGGTCGATGAGCACTCCGAGTAGGTACGAGAGCCTGCTGAGACTATGCAAAGAATTCTGGAGAAGCTCAGTGGATTTGAGCTCTCATCACTGTGAACTGCTATGAAAGTCCAGGGTTGGCCATAGGTCCTGCCTTGGACCAACATCAGACAACCAGCCTTTCAGGAAGCAGGGCATTTATGGGCTCCTCTACCTCCAGAGGGTCTTCCATATTTCTGGAAAGAGTCAAGAATGTATAGAACAGTAGGGGCAGAAACCTCCTTATTTCTCTGAGGATCCCTGGCCTAGATCAGTGCTTCTCAAACATTAATGGGCATAGGAATCACATGGAGGTAATCTTAAATGCAGCTTCTGAGTCAGTAAGTTTGGGGTGGGACCTGCAATTTTGCATTTCTAACAAGTTCCCAGATACCCCTGATGTGGGTGCTGCCTGCCCAGGGACCACGCTTTGAGTAGCAGCCATTGGTCTAGAATACAGACACCTCCTTGTTCCCTGAACTTCAGGGAGTGGGTCAGTGTCTCAAGAAAGACTCCTCCCATGCACACTGTCACTCATTTTAGCATCTCCTGCAAGCATCTGGCTAAGTCTGTCTTTAATTCTTTTTCAAACAGCGTATCTAAGTTTTGCAACCATAGACACCAGCCAGGAGAATATATATTCCATGCAGAAAATGATGATGCCCAGTTCACAAAAATGTTTACGCTGAATATAAGAAGTAAGTAAAATTGTCAAAAATTTTAAGTTTATAACTCCTTAATGCTTTATTAACCATAATCAGAAAGAGCTAAACAATGGCTTAGAAGGGATGCTACAAAACTGTTTTTAAATGCTTATGTGTTTTGAAATTTTACTCATACCCACTGGTTTGGGTTACATACATCTCTTTCTGTTTTTATCCCCGGAAGCTGAAAGACTTATTGCGTATCTGCTCGGAATATGCTTTAGTATTGTGACTTTCTTGACTTCTAGTCCTTTGAAAGGTCATGTTAAGGAAAGGCTGAAAGTCATATTACCTTCCATTTGTTTGTTTTTAATAATTTAAAGTGTTTTTGACCTATAAAGATACGAGAGAACGTTTTGTTGAACCTTTTGCAGATAGCTTCTCCTGAGGCTAAGAATCATGCTGCGGTGCACAGATTGCTATGGGTCTGCACCTCAGCTCTAGAGAGGGCAGCCTAGCAGTGGAAAAGTAGCGTTCAACAGCTTGGTGTTAGGGCTGCCTGTGATGATCTTATTGCCCAGGGAGAAGGGGGAAAGACAGCATAACCAGAGGAATAATGAGAGAGGACTGGAGGCATGCTGAACAGAGCCAGCACCCTGCCAGAAGCACAGTCTACCATGGGGGAATGGGCAGCCTATCCTAGAAGCCAATTTTGAAATCATTCCGAAGAGTACCAGACTACATGAGCTCATTTTAAAAAATTATTTTTGTGTTAGATTGTTGTTAGGTGCCATCGAGTCATTTCCAGCTCATAGGGACAACTGTGCACAACAGAACGAAACACTGCCCCGTCCTCCACCATCCTTACAATCGTTGCCGTGTTTGATACCATTGTTGCAGCCACTGTGTCACTCCGTCTCATCGAGGGTCTTCCTCTTTTTCACTGACCCTCTACCAAGAGTCTTAGTTATCTACTTCTGCTATAACAGAAATACCACAAGTGGGTGGCTTTGACAAACAGAAATTTATTTTCTCACAGTTTAGGAGGCTAGAAGTCCGAATTCAGGGTGCCAGCTCTAGGGGAAGGCTTTCTCTCTTTGGTGGCTCTGGAGGCAGTCTCTTCTGAGCTTCTGCCCCTAGGCTGTCTTCATGTGGCTTGGCATGTGTCTTCCCCCATCTCTGCTTCCTACTCTGCCTAATCACCTTGATTTATTTCTCAAAGGTGATCAGTTTAAGACACATCCTACATTGATATGGCCTCATTAACATAATAAAGAAAACCCTATTCCCATATGGGATTACATCCACAAGTATAGGGGTAGGGAATTACAACACGTATTTTGGGGGGACACCATTCAATCCATAACACCAAGCATGATGTCCTCCAAGGACTGGTCCCTCCTGATAACGTGTCCAAAGTGAGACAAAGTCTCGCCATCCTTGCTTCTAAGGAGCATTCTGGCTGTACTTCTTCCAAGAACAGAAATTATTTTAGTGTAGTAGAAATATATATAACAACACCCAGGGACTCTAAGAAATCCAAAGTAGGTGTCTTATCCATTAGAGAGTAAATTGCAGTCAGAACCAGGATGCCCTAGTCTCTTGTTGGACTGACAGAACCCTCTGCCCTCTCTGTGTACCTTTTTGGTGCTTTCTCAATCAGTTTTTCATATGGTCAGCTGTGCCTACATGTGAACCCAGCACAGGAAGGGGAGCACCCCCACCCCCCAAAAAATTTATCAATTCAACATTTTTTACAAGTACCATTCAGTGACATTGATCATGTTCAACATGTTGTGCAAACATCACCACTATCCATTTCCAAATTTGTCCACCACCATTAACAGAAGCTCAGAGCCCCCTAAGTAAGGCTCCCCTTTCTCCCTTCCCTCTCGTCCCTGTTAACCACTAGTAAGTTTTTGTCTCTCTGCGCTTGCCTAGTCTAGATACAGTATTTCATATAAGTGGGATCGTGCAATCTTTGTCCCTTTATGTCTGACTTATTTCACTCAGCCTCACATTTTCAAGCCTCATCCGTTGTGCAGCATGTATCAGGACTTCATTTCTCTTACCTGAGCTTATTGTACATGTTCTTCTTTGCAGGGAGGCCTCAAGTACTGACTGAGACATCAACGAGTCAGGCCTCTTGTTCCTCTGATGGATACCCATTACCATCTTGGACCTGGAAGAAGTGCTCAGAGAAGTCTCCCAAGTAATATGAACATTGACTTCTCTTGTAATGGAAGGACCTAATGGTCATACTCTCTCTGACATAGTGACTGTTTCTCATGAGTACAGTTTAAGAAAAAATGATGACATCTTTACGATGCTTTCCTTCTGAATCAGCCATCATTCTCAATGGTCATAGATTGTTTCTGATAACTTATAATCGATGAATCTCTTATTAGAGCTTGCTACAGAAACCCTGGCTTCCACCCCGATGATGCCCACCTAGCTAACTTCTCTGTCTTCCATGTCTTTGCAGCTGCACAGAAGAAATCACAGAAGGAATTTGGACTAAAAAGGCTCGCAGACAAGTGTTTGGACAATGGATATCAAGTAGTACCCTCAACATCAGTGAAGCAGTCAAAGGTTTCCGGGTCAAGTGCTGTGCATACAATTCCATAGGCTCGTCTTGTGAAACAATCCTTTTAAACTCACCAGGTATCCAACAATTGCCATTGTACTACAGCACCGTCAGGAATTTCCCACTGACAAGTTAGTCCCTGATGCTGCCTTACATTGGGGGAATTTCCCAAGAGAATGTAGGTTCAGTGTAGGAGGAAAGAAGGCTTTTGAGACAAGCAAGAATCCCCACTGACATAAGCTGTTTTGTAGTTCACAGTGAAGCTCTGCTTACGCTATTATGATCATGAGTTGTAGTCACGTAGGTAGAACCATGAGCTCTCAGCATCATGAACATCAACTGAAAGGTGAAATCCTAGAGAAACAGAGTCGGTGATTTGGACCTCCATCATGTTCCCTTTTGGCTAACGTCCTTCATTTGCCATTAACCTGCTGTCCTATAATTTTTAATTTATTTTTTTAACATTCTCCCAAATTAAACGATTCTAAAACTTAGATGCCTACACTCACAGTTTAGAATTGCTAGCCGCCCCCCAAACTAACTTCTCCACATTCACGTATCTTCATAGAGGGAACACAAACCTCTTTTTTATCTAACTTGTACATCCTGTGAGTTTAAGTAGATGCCATTCTTAGAACCCTAATGAATGATTTTTTATTGAAATAAAATTTTAATAGACTTTTAGTGCAGTTTTAGGTTTACAGAAACATTGTGCAGAAATTTCTGTAGCGATTTCCCATATACTATTCCCCCCTCCCATGACATTGCTTCTCTTCTTAGGAACTTCTTGCATTCCTGTGGTACATTTGTTACAGTTGATGGACCGATATTGATACATTATTATTAATTAAAGTCCACAGCTTACATTAGGATTCACTCTCTGTGTTGTACAGTCCTAAGGGTTTTGACAAATGCATAATATCATGGCCCCACCACTACCATATCATCCAGAATAGTTTCACTGCCCTTAAATCCCCTGCGTTCCACCTATTCATCCCTCCTTCCCCTCAACCCCTGCAACCATTAATCTTTTTGTTGTCTCTGTGTCCTAAGGAGCCCTGGTGGCACAGTGGTTAAAGCACCCACCAGCTGCTCTGCGGGAGAAAGATGTGGCAGTCTGCGTCCATAAAGATTACAGCCTTGGAAACCATATGGGGCAGTTCTACTCTGTCCTATAGGGTTGCTATGAGTCGGAATCAACTTGACGGCAGTGGATTTGGTTTTTCTTTTTCTTTCTTTTTTTTTAATAGGTTGTCTTTTCCAGAATGTCATGTAATTGGAATCGTACAGGACTTAGCCTTTTCAGACTGGCTTCGTTCACTTAGCAATATGCATTTAAGCTTCCTAAATGGTTTTTTAAAAATGTGTTCAGAAACACTGAAAACTTTCTGGGGAGGAAATCGGTTTTCAATTTGTCCTTTATGTGAACATTACCTGGTTTTCTATGTGGAGTAGCGTATATGTAGAGGGCTTGTAAGGACTGAAAATAACGGTTACTCAAACGGGGTGGGAGAAGTTATAATGAGCCATTCTACTATTTGTAATACAAACAGGACTTCATATTCACTGCTCGGTGGCACTCTTGTTGCAGGCCCCTTCCCTTTCATTCAAGAGAACATCTCATTCTACGCAACAATTGGACTTTGTCTTCCCTTCATTGCGGTTTTAACTATGCTACTTTATCACAAGTACAAAAAGGTAAAAGCAAAGGTCAAATTCATCCTTGCTTCCTGTTTTGCAGATTTGCCTGTTCGTAACGGATTCCTTCTTTCATCCCTGCAGCAATTTAGGTATGAAAGCCAGCTGCAAATGGTACAGGTGACTGGCTCATTGGATAATGAGTACTTCTACATTGATTTCAGAGAATCTGAGTATGATCTCAAATGGGAGTTTCCAAGAGAAAATTTAGAATTTGGTAAGAACTGACTGTTGGAAATGTTTCCGTGGTAATTCCTTCCTGTTGGGAAATTCTTCAAATGCACTCACTCATTGTTTATCTTGCAGGGAAGGTGCTAGGATCGGGTGCTTTTGGAAAAGTGATGAATGCAACAGCTTATGGAATTAGTAAAACAGGAGTCTCAATCCAGGTTGCAGTCAAAATGCTGAAAGGTACAGTAAAGGGGAATGTATCAACAATGATGCACAAAGAGGCACAGTCTCCCACTCACACCTTCTCCCCATTTTCCATCATTTTTTAAAAATAAAATGTATTGTGTTTTTGGTAAAGGTTTACACAGCAGTTGAGGTTCCCATTCAACACTTTCTACACAAGTTGTTTGGTGACATTGGCACCATTCTTCACAATGTGTAAACGTTCACTTGATTTCCATTCTGGTTGTTCCATTTCCATTAATCTAGTTTCCCTGCCCTCTTACATTCTCATCTTTGTTGTAAAGTAATTGTTGACTGTCTCATATAAGTGATTTTTTGTAAAGGAGCACCGTCCTTATGAGTGATATTCATTATTTTTTGAGCCAATTTGTTATTTAGCTACAAGGTGACATCAGAGATTAATTTCGGTTCAAGATTTGAAGAGTATCTCAGGGCAGTAGTCTCCTGGAGTCCTCAAGTCTCAACCAGTCCAGTAGGTCTGTTTTTTTATTGTTCTTTAGGAATTTGAGGTTTTGATCCACATTTTTGTCCCATTCTATCAGGGTCCATCTGTTGTGGCCCTGATTAGAACAATTGGTAGTGGTAACTGGGCACCATCTAGTTCTTCTGGTCTCAGGGGTAGTTGAGGTTGTAGTTCGTGTAGACTGTGTCCTGCAGACTAGTTTTTTCTTTGAGTCTTTGGTTTTCCATACTTTTTTATGGTTATTGCCAGCCATGCGTCCAGGTTGAAGTTAGTGTCAACCAAGTCATGAATACAATAAAGCTCTAGTACACACCCCCTCTTCTTCCTCTTCTCTGTTTAGTTTCTATTCACTTCAGTTGGAGGATGTAGTTGCTGTAGGCAGATGTTCTTTCTTACATTGTTGACATATACTTGTTGTTGTGTGCCATCAGTTGATTTTGACTCATAGTGACCCCATGTGATAGAGTAGAACTGCCCTATAAGGTTTCCTAGGCTGTAATCTTTACGGGAGCAGATCGCCAGGTCTTTTCTCCTACAGAGTGGCTGGTGGGTTCTAACCACCAGCCATTTGGTTAACAGCTGAGCGCTTAACCACTGTGCCACCAGGGCTTCTAGGCTCTGGGTAGAGGCATAAATTAAAGCTCTCTGTATCCTCTCTTCCTGTTCTTTGCTCCATCCACCCCAATCTGCCATCTGCCCGCCCTCTTCGCTCCACCAACTGCCTCTTGCTAAGGTGATCAGTGACCAAAGTGATCACCATTGGGTGAACTAAGTCCAGTGGGCATTTTTCAGTCCTCACGTTGCTTATTTTTCAGCATAAATTAACACTGTTGACTATTAGCTCCATTCGAAAACATTTTCTTCTTTTGATTTCCATGTTGCCATATTCTTCTAGGCTTCCTCCTACCTTCCTGACTGCTTTTCAGTCCTTTGCTGGCTCATTGTTTTCTACCCAGCTTTTTACGTGGAGTGCCTGCAGACTTACTCCTGTGCTTCCTTCCCTTTTCACCTTATATGCTCACCACAGGCAATGTTGACCATGCCCATTCACTCACCATATTTCATCCTATGAACCAATGATTCTCATGACGATGTCTTCCTCCAGAGCTTCATGTTCATATGTCCAAATGCTTGGATGTCTGAAAAATCCCTTTAATTCATATTATCTAAGCTCCCAAAACCTAGCCCCCCAGCAATGTTGCTTCTCTCAGTGATTGGTGACTAGCACCAATGAACAGCCACATTCTATATATTTGCACAAACCACAAACCTAATAATCATTCTTGAAACTGCTCTCCTTCTAATACCACTGTATCTAAAGTTATTCCTATTGGTTTTCTTCCTTGGTGTCTCTTGAATTCTTCCTCTTCTATCTCCATTACCTGTTGCCGTTGAGTAGATTCCAACTCACAGTGACCCTATAGGACAGAGTAGAACTGCCCCATAGGGTTTCTAAGGCTATAATATTTATGGAAACAGACTGCCACATCTTCTTCCACAGAGCAGCTAGTGGTTTTGAACCACAGACCTTTCCGTTAGCATCTGAGTGCTTTGACCACTGTGCCCCCAGGGCTCCTCTCTCCCTCCATCAGTACTACTCTAGTCCAAGCCGTTCTGTCCTCATCTCTTGCAGTAGCCTCCCAAGAAGGGACCCTATAGTCACTCTTATCTCCTTCTATATTCTCTACGTTGTTGTGTGTCGTCAAGTTGATTCCGACTCTTAGCGACCCTATATGACAGAGGAGAACTGCCGCGTAGGGTTTCCTAGGCTGGAATCCTTATGGGAGCGGGTTGCCAGATCTTTCCTCCCACGGAGTGGCTGGTGGGTTCAAATTGCTGACTTTTGGTTAGCAGCCAAGTCCTTAACCATTGTACCACTAGAAAGTCTCTATACTGAAGCCCAAGTGGTGGTTATGTTACCGAACGCAATGGGTTCGCCGCTTGCACTCGAGCAACTAAGAGTCAAGCGGATTTAAAGCAAGGCATAGTTTATTATTCATGGCCAGTAAGAAGAGGACGGGGGTCCTCCCCGAAAGCACTCTTTCTCCGAACAAAGGGCTGGGAGTGCAGTTTTATACCACATGGGAAAGGGGAAGTCATACATATCCATTAACTTCATATATTTTCAAAAAGGAGTCAGGGTAGAATTCTGGCACAGAAGTGGCTGATGCACTTCTCACTTCCGAAACAGGCTCAGTTACCGCTCAATGATGTGTGTCCAGTGATTTTGGTTCCTAGGCAACACTTATGGGCTGTGGCCATCTGATGCTCAACCTGGTCTCTTACCGCGCATGCCCAGGATTCTAGTTCTAATTGGCTGATCTGAAAGGCGGCTACAAGCGGACAGATTAGGAGGAAGCAAACACCTTTTGCACCATTCTTCTTCTAGACAAGATTTTCAACCGATGTAACTTGTCCTTTGAGGCCTTTTCTGTCCCTAGCCGGTCTCAGTTATGAAATGCAAAGCAGATCATATCATTTTCCTACTTAAAATTTCCAGCAGTTTCAATCACTCGGAAAATGGTCTACTCAGCCCTGCATGAATTATCCACTGCTTACCTTTCTCTTTCCACTCTCAGCTGTCAGCACACTGGCCTTCTTTCAGTTCCTCCAGAGCACCCTGCTCCCTCCCACCCCTGGGCCTTTGTACAGGCTAGTCCTTCTGTTTAGCCTTTCCTCTTCACTTAGGTCCCTCCCATTCCTCCTTCAGAGCTAAGCTTAAATACCATTTCCTCAGGGAAGCCATCTCTGACACCACCGATGAGCACAAGTCCCTTGCCATATGTTTCCTAGCTCCCTGTAGACTTTTTTCATAGAATTGGTCACAATTATGATTACATAGTTGTTTAGTTATTCAGTTAATGTCTTATCCGTCTCATTAGTCTGTAAGCCTCCTGAGGGTGAGATCCATGTCTGTTTTGCCATGCTCTCTTCATTCTCAACTTTTGCCCATTCTGTTACTTTGGTCTGGAATGTTCTTCTCTACCCCCCCTCAACCCCCACTGTGAATTCATCTGGCTAATTCTTATTATTCTTCAGGATTCAGCTTAGACAGCTGGTGCTTCTTTTCCCACCCCTCCCAAAGCTAAGTTAAATGTCCCTCTTGTGTGACCCCACAGTACCCCTACATTCATTTGCCACATTGCATTTTTTGCACTATATTGTAATTTATTTACTTATCACCCTTTTCCAGGAGGTTCTAAGCTCCAGGAAGACAGAGCTGTGTCTGGTTTATCATTCATTCCTCACTGCTTAGCACATTGCCTCATACACAGTAAGCTCTCAATAAATACTTGTTAAATGGATGAATGAAAGGTGTAATGGTATGTGAAAGTGCATTGAAAAGGTTAAACACACCATAAAATATAAACTATTATTTCTTACCATGAGGAAGAGAAAGTGGACAGTTGAAATCCACACATCCCTATAAAGTTTGAAGCAGCTGAAGGCATTATGTAGTAGTGGGTCATGGTGTACACAGTGAAGTAATCCACTCCCATCCAAACCAAGATCTTGCAACTAAGGGTACTCTTAGGAGCTCACAAAAGTCAAAATAGATGACATCAACACTCTGGAAAAGCCACGCTAAGGACCAGGATATCTTCCAGGATAAAATAATGGGTCTGAGAAATCTAATCAGTCTTGATTGAGTGGAAAGAAAAGTTATTTTGTCAGAAAGAATATGGTAACACAGAGGTGAGTGCCTGGAGCCTGCAGAGGTAGGTCCAAGGAGCCTTATCTCTGGGGCTTCAGTGCCACCCTGGGGCAGGGGTGCCTGAGCTGTCATATCAGCCTCCATCACGTGAGCCCTTGAAGTTCATCAGTAACTAACCAGCTGACATTGGGTAAACTCCGACTCCTGGGGACCCCATGTGTTTCAGAGTAGAACTGTGTTCCATAGGGTTTTTAATGGCTGATTTTTCGGAAGTAGATCACCAGGCCTTTCTTCCAAGGCATCTCTGGGTGGACTCTAACCACCAACCTTTCAGTTAGCAGCCACGTGCTGAATCATTTGTACCACCCGGGGGCTCTTTACCAGTAACTACCCTCATGCTGGGATTCTAAGCAAGATGATGAATACAGTTTGCCAGGCTATCTAGATTTTTCTCCAGGGAGATAATACACTTACCAACCAGTACATTCTAGGCTGCTCAGCAACTATACTTCTCATTATCAATGACTGAGTCTCTTGAAAACTTGGTTTGTGAGAGTCAGTTCTCTTCAGACCCCTCCACACTGGACTCACTGAGAAAGGTAAGGTTCCAGACTACAGAGCTGAGGGCCACAGCTGGGGCTGTGAGGCATTGCCTGAACAGCTAGCCACCCACCCTCACTGACATTCCTATCTTGTCTCTCTGTTACTACAGCAAATCCAAGAGTCAAAAAAAAAAAAAAAAGTATTTTTCTCTTTAGCGTATCAGTTAACTTCTACTATGGAGGAAGTTCATGATTTTTTTTTAATGTCTCCGTTTCTCTTATCACTTTGCATCTAGATAAATAATACATATCCGCTCTGAACTAAGGAATGATTTGATTTATTCAACAACATAAAATTGCTGTTTTACTTGCATTTCACATGTATGTGCTCTTCAATTCACAGAAAAGGCAGACAGTTCTGAAAAAGAGGCTCTCATGTCAGAACTCAAAATGATGACTCACCTTGGAAGCCATGAGAATATTGTGAATCTGTTGGGAGCATGTACACTGTCAGGTAATCCATTGCCACTAAAAACACCGATCAAAGGTATTGTAGCCCAAAGATAAAGAGGACATTTGTTCTCGTTTTTTCTCCTCAGTCACAGTGGGCCCTCAAACCCAAGTGGAATTAGACATTGAGTGCTCTCTCTCTCTGTTGCATGCTTTCTCTCTCTGTATATGTATACGTGTATATATGTACATCTGTACACGTATATGGAGCCCTGGTGGAGGAGTGGATAAGCTCTTGGCTGCTAACAAAAAGGTTGGCAGTTCAAATCCACCAGCTGCTCCTTGGAAACCCTATCGGGGCAGTTCTACTCTGTCCTACACAGTCTCTATGAGTTGGAATTGACCCGACGGCAAAGGGTTTGGGTTTTTTGTTTTTTTTTTTAATACTTTATATATGTATATAAGGAGGCCTGGTTGCGCAGTGGTTAAAGCACTTGGCTGCTAACTGAAAGGTTGGCAGTTTGAACCCACCAGCCGCTCCACGAGAGAAAGATGTGGCAGTCTACTTCCATAAAGATTTACAGCCTTGGAAACCCTATGGGGCAGTTCTACTCTGTCCTATAGGGTCGCTGTGAGTCGGAATTGACAGCAGTGGGTTTGGTTTTGGTGGGTTATACATGTATATATGTATCTGTCATATATATATACATATATATATATATGTATGACTTGTAAAGTCACATAGCTCAATATAAAGAATGCCTGTCTCTTACCTGCTTTATTGTGATACATCACATAATTCTTTAAATTTCCATTTCAAAAACAGCACTGCAAGTACGTTGTGTGGTATCTGGTTCTACCTACTCAGATAGGGTTTCTTCCTCAGCGGTGAAGGCTAGCATAAATGCAGTGAAGAGTGGTTACTGGGCATAGCTGGGGTGCTGCCCCAGGTGGGCTGTCTTCAAATAAGGCACAGCCCAGGCAGGATTTCCGAGCTGATTTTCCCAGGCTATCTGGGGCATGCTTTCTGATTCTCTTGCTTCTACCTAGAAATACTGAAACTGTGTGCTCAAGAAGTGTTCTTTCCACGAGCACTAGGTACAAAGTGCGTCTTCCTGGGACAGCCAGCCTGGGGCTGGTGCTAAAAGAAGAGGAAAAAAAAGAAAATGAATCTAAGAGGCAGTTGGGATATGTTTTTCCCTTCTTAGACAAGCAACAAATCAGCAAGTATTGACCAACTGTTCTCAGTGCAGCCAGCATCTTAGTCCCAGTTGCAAATTGGAGAATCCAGGTGACCCGTGGTTATTGGCCAGGCTACCTGTATAACAAGAGCTAAAGTGAAAGGCAGGAAGATATTGCTTCCCAAAGGCATTTGAGCGAAAAGCTGAAGTGGAATGTAGAGTCTAAGAAGGGATAGGCTCAGGAAAAGTACTCTCCCAAAGTCAGAGGAGAGCCGAGATTCCCGGATTGTGGTGTCTGTTCCATAGGCGTCTGAGAAAGCGATTTGTTTTTTGGGCACCTATAATTACAACTGTAACTATTTCAGGACCAATCTACTTGATCTTTGAATACTGTTGCTATGGTGATCTTCTCAACTACCTAAGAAGTAAAAGAGAAAAATTTCACAGGACATGGACGGAGATTTTTAAGGAACACAATTTCAGTTTTTACCCCACTTTCCAGTCACATCCAAATCCCAGGTAAGAGACTGGGTCAAGGTTTCCTAATTATACATTAAAGAACATAGCTAAAGTGTGCCAGTTAAACAACCTGTATTGATCAGCTTCTAAAGGCCATAGTCCAGCATTGTGTGGTCTGTGGGCTCGAAGACCTAGAACAGTCGCTTGCTTATCTTTGCTATGGTTTTCTTTTTCCTACAGTATAGGTACTATAGCTGAGCCAGTCTCTCCCCTTGTACCTAAATCACTCCATAGACACATATTAAGTTTCTGGAAAGGTGCGTTATTAAGTCTTTCAGGCCTCCCAGTTAGCACACAGGTATTGCTAGGAAAAGTTAACACTTTTTCCAAGTCCTTGACGTGTTTATAGAAAGTCGCTTAGGTCCCAGGAGCGTTGCACAAAATAGCTGTAAATTCCTAAGCTGGATTTTAAAAAAATTATGTTAGATTGATTGACATAACCTGATGGAGACAAAGTAGTGGTAATCCAACCCAAAAACCCATTGCTGTCTAGTGGATTCCAACTCAGCGACCCTATAGGACAGAGTAGAACTGCCCCATAGGGTTTCCAAGGAGTGGCTGGTAGATTCAGACTGCCAGCCTTTAGGTTAGCAGCCGGACACTTAACCACCTCACCACCAGGGCTCCTAGTGGTAATCAAGGCTAGATTATCCAATAGGCAAGGTAAGCACGGTGTTTACCTTGCTTACCAGATAATCTGTAGTGAACAATTTCACATTTTTTCACCACATCAAAGATTCTGCTTCTAGATATGGCTGGCATCTGTCTCTCTCCCAACACCATAGCGCCTTCCTATAGAATCAAAGCCTCTCTTTAAATTAACAATCCCTGACGGGGGCAGGTGACCCAGTAAGCAAGATAAACACGGGCTTACTTGTGTTTATTTACTAATCTGTAGTGAACAATTTCGCATGGGTTTCTGAAATTGTTCACTACGGATTAGTAAATAAGCACAAGTACGCCTGTGCTTACCTTGCTTATTGGCTTATCTGCCCCTATTGGTAACATTTGTCTGGAGTCCCTGTGTGGTGAAAAGGTTAATGTGCTCGACTGCTAACTGAAAGGTTAGAGGTTCAAGTCCTCCTCGAGGTGCCTGGGAAGAAAGGCCTGGACACCTACTTCCGAAAAATCAGCCATTGGAAACTCTGAGGCATGTGTGGTCTCCAGGAGCCGGGGTTGACTGGACAGCAACAAGTTTTTTTGTTAATTTTTTTAAACATTTTTCTATCATACCATTGATGAGGTCCCTGAGTGATCCTCGATCCTGGTGGGATTTATTGTTTCATCATGCATAAACAAGGCCTTCAGGAGTCTGGAAGGATGCTCATCTTCATCCTTGGGAATTGCTTGCTAATTATTGATCATTGTAGCTTTATAGGGTCACTATGAGTTGGAATTGACTTGACAGCAATGGATTTTTTTTTTTTAATAGCTCTACAGCACCTTTCTCTGAATGAATTCACACAGATTTTTATAGAATGGTTCCTCAATCCACAATGCATTCATCCCTGTGTGTCTGAAAGCTCTCCATTATTCTGAAGGCACATTTATTTGTCAGAGACTTTTATCTTTGCTGGGGGACTTTTGGAGGGTGTGTTTGAAATTTGCAGCTATTTTTTCTTAGAACATGAGTTGGTCTTCAAGGTCTGAGATGGAGACCTAGCATCTTAAAGCCGGAAGCTCCCAGAGATCGCGTTTGTGCGGCTGCCCTTAACTCATTCATACTGGTCACACCAGTCCCGCCCTTTACACTCATTTCTCAGTTTATTTGCTAAATCTGAGCAAACTACAGTGTTATTTGCACTCTAGAACAGAGTCCATGATTATGAGTCTAGTGTACATGGCTGGCGTGCCATGCTCAGTAATAATTTGTTGTTGTCGTTAGATGCTGTCGAGTCAATCCCGACTCGTAGAGACCCCATGTGACAGAGAGGAACTGCCCCATAGGGTTTTCTAGGCTGTAATCTTTACAGGAGCAGATCACCAGGTCTTTCTCCTACGGAGCCCTGGCTGGGTTCATGCCGCCAACCTTTCGGTTAGGAGCCGAGTGCTTAACCATTGCAACGCCAGTGCTCCTTTCGCTAATAACCAATGCTGGTAAACTTAGCTCCTGTGATTCAGTCCAGTCACTGGGACATTAAATACACTGAAGTAATTACTGTTGGAATATTTGTGGCCTGAATGTATTAGGCCGTTTTCCAAAGTTATGGAAATCGTAAGTTGGGATAATCTTGTATGGTGCAAAAAAACCCAACAAAAACAAAACACTGAATTATTCATTATCTACATATAAAGTGTACAAAATACCTCTAAAGAGTTCTATATTATATACGTTAAAAGAGATTTTCATGATTGTTGTTAGCTGCCTTCAAGTCAGCTCCAACTCATGGAGACCTTATGTATGACAGAACAAAATATTACCCGCTCCTGCCCCATCTTCATCACTGGTATGCTCAAGTTCATGTTTGCAGCCACTGTGCATTATGAGTGCCTTCCAACCTGGAGGACTCATCTCCCAGTACTGTATCGGACAAGATTCTGTTGTGATCCCCTGGGTTTTTATTGGCTAATTTTCAGAAGTAGATTGCCAGGCCTTTCTTTCTATTCTGTCTTAATCTGGAAGCTCCGCTGAAACCTGTCCATTATGGGTGACCCTGCTGGTATTTGAAATACTGGTGGCATAGCTTCCAGCATCACAGCAACATACAAGCCACCATAGTATGACAAGTGGACAGATGGGTGGTGGTTTTTATGATTACTGTTTGTTTATTTGACAGAAACAGGATGTGAGCTTTACAAAGGCAAACTTGAAAAAGGAAGGATGGTAAAACTCTTGTAGCTTTCTATAGAAGATCTACATTATATGAACCTTTATAGGGAAAGTGGGCTGAGTGTTGAAACAGGAGAAGAGGGCTAAGTCCTAATTCCACTATCACTAGTCATGTGATATCAGCAAATCCTATTTCTCTCACCAAGTATAATTTCTCTTTTATGAAATGTAACTTTAACATCCAGCTCACAGGGCTGTGGTAAGGATTAAGTAAGATTCTTTTTGAACCCCAAGACTCTACACAGATAACAGTGATTACGCTTATCCCAGTTCAATTACACAGGTATTTTTAATGTAGGGCTCTGAACCAGTTTGAACCAGTTCCGTCATGGACGATGAGGCAAAATCGGAACAGACCTGGATTTTTAAAATTTGGGTGGAGCAGAATGATAAGCAGGACAGGGAAAACTATGGGTCAAAACCCTGGAATGGGAGACTCAAAAGAGGCTTAGTGAGCCCTTTCAGGAGCCTGATACGGGGGATTGGATTATTGCCAGGACTGTGGAGAGCAACACACTTTCAAAGCAGCGTGGTTGGCTGCCATCTTTGAGTGGGGCACCACTGTTTCCAACTCTGCTGGTCAAGAGATTTGGTTGCTATGCAACACACATGCTGCCCTTGTTTTTCTAAGAGGGAGATTAAGTTTCTATCGGCTTCAGTCCATAATTTTTCCCATTCTGCTCACTGTTCTGCTTCAGCCACTTTTTAAAAATTTGAGTCCGTTCAGGTTTTGCTTCATCAGCCATCACTAAACTGGGCAGAACCAGTCTGAAGCCCTGTTTTGATGTTTAAAAAAATGGACAAGTTGATAGTATGCTTTTAATTTAAAAACCTATTTATAATTTGAATTCATTTCTGTGATAAATTACAGTGAAACCTGTGAGAGCCAAAACTTGATGGGACTTGCTTGTATTTCCAGGTCTCACAAATTTTCCACCTTTGACAGGGTACAGTCTTACCACTTTTCTATCACTATCTATTAATGGAAAATATTTGAGTTTTTCTTCTCTGACAGGTTTCCACCTTACACGGGTTCCGGGTTTCACAGGTTATACTACATAATTTTTTAATTAAGTTTCAGAAGGAGAATATAAATAATGAAAAAATATATTTTTTTTAATAGCGTGCCTGGTTCAAGAGAAGTACAAATACAGAAGGATTTGGATCAGATCTCAGGGTTCAATGGGAATTCATTTCATTCCGAAGGTAAGATTTTATTCTAATTAATAGCTCTTTAAAATAGAAATGGATACAATTGTTTCATGCTAGCAATTTTTAAGAAGTGATAAATGCCAAAGGGTTTTTTTTTTTCTTTGCTAATGTCATTTATAGGCTTTATTAAAGCATATTTGCTTTAAAGGTTGTTAAAGCCAACAATCTGTAAATTGTGAGTTTTATGTCAATGTCCAACTAATAAACACTGAGAACTATTTTATTTGGGCAGGTTATTCTTTTTAAAGTTCTAAATTAATTAGAGCCATCCTCTTACCTGATATGTGGGAAAGATGATGAATTCTGAAGTCAGACAGAGTGGGGTTAACTTCTGGTTCCATTGCATTCTGGCTGTATGACTCTAGACAGGTTATTTAACCATCTGAGTCACAATGTTTTCTTTTGTAAAATGGGCCTAATGCTACCTTCCTCGTAGGGCCATCCTTGGACAAAATAGAGGAACATTAAGTCCGCAATAAACCCATTGCCATCGAGTTGAACTCATAGAGACCTTATAGAACAGAGTAGAACTGTCTCATAAGGTTTCCTAGGCTGTAATCTTTACAGAAGCGGATTGCCTCTTCTCCCACGGAGTGGCTGGTGGGTTCAAACCTCTAACCTTCTGATCAGTAGCCAAGCGCTTAACCGCTGCGCCACCAGGGTTCCTTAAGTGCACGAGACAGTTCATAAAATGTGGTAGACACTCAATTAAATATTAGTTCCTTCCCCAATGTGATAAAACTGCCTAGTGCAAAAAAACAAACAAAAAAAGCATCTAAAATTCCTGACTAATTTGGAGACCGTCTATCACCAAAGCAGCTAGGAAATTTATTCTCTGTGACCAAAAAGAATCTTTATGTAATCCTGCATGGGCTACATACTCTTAGTATCAATAGGTTGGCGTAGTGCTGCAGATAAACCATTGGAGAACTTCGTTTGTATGACTTACCTCCTTGCCTATTTGACTGTGGCTTCAATTACCTTCTCACAGAGATGTAATCAGGCAACTTCTTAGGGTTATGACAAAAGTGAAGTCTGGTTCTATTTTACAGATGAAATTGAATATGAAAACCAAAAAAGGCTGGAAGAAGAAGAGGACTTGAATGTACTTACATTTGAGGATCTCCTTTGCTTTGCATATCAAGTTTCCAAAGGCATGGAATTTCTGGAGTTTAAGTCGGTAAGGCCCTTCCAAAGAAGAAGAGAACACAAAAAGATAAAGATAATTAAGAAAAAGAGATGAGCTTATATGTTTTTTTGTTTAATTTAACTTGTATCCTGTAGTCTGTCTTTTTCCTCCTGTTCCTTACTGGAATCATCTAGAACATCTCGGCTTGTGGTTAATTGTAGTATAAAGGCCCGGGGTCCCTTATTAGATAATAGTTATCATACTTTCTCAGGCTGTCCAGAGTTCCCCAAAACTTCCAGAGCAAAAGGTTGAGATTGGAAGTTCTCAGGACTCTCTCCTCAAAACCAGGCATAGCATCGTCAGGCTCTCTTTGTACAGTTGCTCAGCTGGTGCCCTGCACATGGGCATTTGATCTAGGAGGTGACTGGAAGCGAAAATCCAGTGTGCTCCGCTTGCCAAGCCAGCCACTCCAGGCATCTTTTTCTAAATCGCACTCACGTGTTGTGGGCTACTAATCCAATCCCAGTTCCATTGATGGTAAGGCCACTGAGCCTGCCTCAAGCTATGGGCCCTACCCCCAGATTTTTTTTTTTTTTTTAATAATATTGTGTTTTTGGTGAAGGTTTACACAGCGGTTTATGTTCCCAATCAACAATTTCTACACAAGTTGTTCAGTGACATTGATTATATTCTTCACAATGCGTGAACATTCTCACTATTTCTGTTCCAGTTGTTCCGTTTCCATCTACCCTCAATTTTGCACTCATTCTATGATTGGCTTTCAGCTACAAGCAGATTTAAAGCTATTCCTCTGCCTCTCTTCTTACCTTGTGTTACCTTCTTGTTGTTTCCCCAATTTTTCCTCCTTTCTTCTTTCCTTGAGTCTCCTATTCTTCTCTTCCTCCTCATTTCCTCTATTTCCCTCCTTTTGCCTTCTCTTTCTGAATTTGGAGAGACTAATTTCAACTCTGAGTCCCTGGGTAGTGCAAATGGTTAACACACTTGTTTATTAACCGAAAGGTTGGCGTTCACCCAGAGGTGCCTCAGAAGAAAGGCCTGGCAATCTGCTTCTGAAAACTCAGCCATTGAAAACTCTGCAGAGCGCATTTCTACTCTGACACACATGGGTCGCCATGAGTCGAAGTCTACTCAATGGCAACTGTCTTGTATTTTTAATTCAACTGTGTTTTTTCTTTAAAAAATTACTATCTCATTAATATTATTGAATTGGGTTCTTTTCCTTTTCCCATCTCTCAGCTCTGAGGCACATTCTTCCTTACCTGCTGTTTGATATCCTTTTCTCAAGTTCCTTGCATACCTTATTCTGTATCTCTAATTCATTTACAATCGTGGTCTCCTGTGCTTCCTCGAGTGTCTTTATAGATGGTAGAAGTATCTCTATAGATCGTAGACAGTCTGGCCCGGTTGGCTGCCTATAGTCAAGTAAACACTGGAACTACTCACAATTGAAGGTTGAGGGGCGTTGCTTTTTTATTCCCCTTGGAATTATAATAATATGAATTTTTTTGAAGAATATCCAGTTTCTTAGACCTTTTCCCTTTCATTTTCATTTTACGCCCTTTGCCTCCAAATCGTGCACATCACTGTCTCCTATTTTGTTTTATTTTTTAGTTTTTTTTTTTAATCTCAAGTCCCAATTTAGTAACTCCTTTTCTTTCTTTCTTTCTTTTTTAGTAATTCTTTTTTGTTTGTTTTCAGTAAAGGTTTACACAGCAGTTTATGTTCTCATTCAACTCTTTTCTACACAAATTGTTCAGTGACATTGGTTACGTTCTTCCCAATGTGTGAACATTCTCATTATTTCCATTCTGGTTGTTCCATTTCCATTAATGTAGTTTCCCTGCCCCCTTACAGTTTCATCTTTGTTTTAAGACAATTGTTGAACATTTATTTGGTCTCATATAGGTGATTTTTCAAAGGCGCACACAGTACTCACAGCTGATACTGTTTGTCTTATGAGCCAATCTGTTATTTAGCTAGAAGATGACCTCATGGAATAGTTTCAGTTCAAGGTTTAAAGAGTATCTCAGGGCAATAGTCTCAGGGAATCTGAGTCCAGTCTCAACCTGTCCAGTAGGTCTGTTTTTTTGGGGGGTGGGGTGGGGAGGGGTGCTGGTTATACATTTGAGGTTCTGTTCCACACTTTTCTCCCATTTTATCAGGGTGCATGTACTATGGCCCTGATTAGAACTATTGTTAATGGTAGCCAGATACCATGTAGTTCTATCTGTTCTCAGAATAGAAGAGGCCGTGGTTCGTGTCGTCTTCTTTTATTCCCCCCCCTGTTTCTCTGGTTGCTTCTCAGTTTCCCCCATAGACTCTTTGGCTTCATCAAGCATTTCTTGAGTACCAACTACAGGACAGGCACTGTGCTGGGTGCTAGAGTTACAGAGTCAAATATGCTATGATTCCTGTCCTCAAAGACCTTGTACTTCATAGGTAAGAGAGGAGCCCTGGTGGCACAGCGGTTAAGCACTCAGCTGCTAACCAAAAGGTTGGTGGTTCAAACCCACCAGCCACTCTGCAGGAGAAAAGACCTAACGATCTGCTCCCGTACAGATTTCAGCCTAGGAAACCCTATGGGGCAGTTCTATTCTGTACTATATATGGTCGCTATGAGTCAGAATTGATAGTCCACAACAACAGCAACAAAGAGACAAGCCGATAAAGATTACCCTGGAGTGTGATAATATTGTGATTGACATAAGCTCAGGGAGTCCGGGGGAGAGAGATCCACATGAGACCTGGGGCTTTGGGGAAGGCAGAGCAGAAAAGGCTTCCTGAAGGAGTTAGTCCATGCTTGGGGTAAAGATTTTTGAAGGAAAATCAACAAGGAATATGGGATCAGGAGGTTTGCAGAGAAAGGCAATTAAGTTGGACATGGTGAGTGTGAGGTGCCTTGGTGCAATCAAGCAGAGCTTAGTCCAGTAGATAATTGGATAGTAGTAGAATTTTCATCTTCCATGTGGGAGACCTGGGTTCAATTCCCAGCCAAGGCACCTCATGTGCAACTACTACCAGTCTGTCAGTGGAGGCTTGCATGTTGCTATGATGCTAAATGGATTTCAGTGGAGCTTCCAGACTAAGATGGACTAGGAAGAAAGGCCTGGCGATCTACTTCTGAAAATCAGCCAATGAAAACCATATGGATCACGATGATCCGATCCCCAACCGATCATGGGGCTGGCACAGGAACAGGCAGCATTTCGTTCCATTGTTCACGGGGTCGCCATGAGTCAGGGGCCAACTCAATAGCAGCTAACAACAACAACAACTCCTGAAGCTCAAGAGAGAAGTTTGGGTTGGAAATAGAGATTTGGGTAGTGGTAGTTGTATCCCTAGGTTTGGATGGAGTGGCTCAGGGCAGGATGTGGAATGAAAGAGCAGGGAGCTGAGGGTGTAGCCTAGGGAATGAGGAACGTCGAAGGGCAGAGCTTCTGGAGGAAACAGAGAAGCGACCAGAGTGGTAGGAAGAAAACAGGAGAGAGAGGTGCCGAATTCACGGAAGGAAGGAAGGGCATAAAGGAGGTCCCGCTGGGCAACAGCACCAGGCACCACAGAGAGGTCAAATCAAATCACGATGGGGAGTGTCCACTGGATTGGTACTGTAGAGGTCCTTGTAGGGTTTAGCCAGAGTGGTTTGGGTAGATAAGTGGGAGGTAGAAGCCAGATTGCAGGGGCCTTGTAGTCAAGTGGGCAAAGTGGAAGGGAAGACTTCAAGTAGACAATTCTCTTGCAAAGCAGGGCTATGAAAGGAGGGAGACCTAGAGAGGGTTGTGACGGAGGGGTTTTAGGTTTTATTTTATTTGTTTAAAGATTGAAGAGAACCCACTGGACCTTTGCTACTAGTGCCTTGTTCTTTTTTTTTTTTTTAATTAAAAAAAAACTTCTAGTGTGGTAAAATATATGTAACAAAACGTTTCAGCCATTTTTCCACGTACATTTCAGCGACCTTAACTGTATTCGCCATGTTGTGCAACCATCACCACTATCTGTTTCCAAATTTTTCCATCACCCTTAACAAAAGCTCTGAACTACTTAATTAATTACCCCCTCCCACAGGCCCCTGGGAACCACTAATGAACTTTGGTCTCTATACATTTGCCTATTCTGGATATTCCATGTAAGTGAGATCAGACAATATTTGTCTTTTTGTGACTGACTTATTTCACTCAGCATAAGGTTTTCGAGGTTCATCTACCCATGGCTCTCGCTGGGACGTCATTTCTCTTTATGGTTGAGTAATATTCCATTGTATATATGTACGCCATCTTGTTTATTCATTCATCTGTTGGTGGACACATGTAGTGCCTTGTTCATTTTAAAATCTTCCTTCTTAATTTTCTTGCCAGACTACTTTGATTAATGCTACACCATCTCTCAGCTCGGGCTCCTTCTAACTCCACTCTGGTCCACCCCGCAGATTCACTTTTTGCTTTTCCAAATGATCAGCTCATCTCTTCCCAGCAGCAGCTCTATTCATCCTCCTGCCTACCGGGTCGCTTTGCTTTCTCTGATATTATTCCATTTTATTCCTGAATCGATTTCCCAGTCAGCAGGCAGCTTCTTATCTCCACACCCACTGTACAGTAAGGACACTCTTTAGAAGGGGCCTCTGAAAATCCTGGGGGGGTCAGTGGAGGGTCCCATTGTTATGTCTCTTACTTATAGCAAAATATATCATTCGACTCCATTTGGTCTCCTAAGAATCTTTTCCCCTTTGGCCTCTGGGAATGTTCTAGAAGCAGCACAAATGCCAAAGAATTGAGTCACCCGCGTTCCCTCTGTTACACATCATGATGATTGTTCGAGGCCCAAGTGAGATAAGGGACCGTAGTGAACTATACATTTCCTTCATCTGTAACTCATCTTGACCTTGAAACCAGAAGAAAGATAACACTCTGTGATAACATACTATGTATAAATAACATTCTGATTGTCTTCTTCACAGTGTGTTCACAGAGACCTGGCAGCCAGGAATGTGCTGGTGACCCATGGAAAAGTGGTGAAGATATGTGATTTTGGACTGGCTCGGGACATAATGAGTGACTCCAACTATGTTGTCAGGGGCAATGTGAGGCCGCCAGCTCTTACGTTGTTATTTTGTGTTTTGCAAGGCACCTTTTGTCATCATTACAGTAGATACCTGCCTTCAGTCACTACTCATACATTGTTTATTTATGGTAACATAAGAAAAACTTCCTCACAACAGTTTACTTTCTTATGCTTAACAGACTTTCCTACAGCTTCAGGGAATATTCTGTCTGTAATAAAATGTGAAAGGAGCCCAGGGAGCACAATGGTTAAGTCCTCGGCTGCTAACTGAAAGGTTGGCTGTTTGAACCCACCCAGCTGCTCCACGGGAGAAAGACCTGGCGATCTGCTCCCGTAAAGATTACAGCCTAGAAAACCCTGTGGGGCAGTTCTACTCTGTCACATGGGGTTGCTATGTGTCGGAATCAACTCTATGGCTATGGATTTTATGGGATTTAATAAAATGTGAACAAGATAACATCACATTTATCCTTTGGACCAGGCAGAATAGAGCAGTTAGGGGCCTTTGAGTGTAATCCTCACTTTAAAAAAGCCTCATTACTTGTACTTATTTCACTTCCTTTAGCTGTAAAGTGATTGTTGAGTTATGTTTCCAATTATGAAACTAGCTACTAGATACAATAAAGCATTTTTAAATGCACAGCATGTACATTAAATAATAAATATACATTTTTCAATGCAAAATATTTAAATTAAATATTAATTAATGAATATTTGTCATCCTAGTGCTGTTGACACAAGGAGACCTAAAACATCACTGAATTGGCCTTTTAAAAAAAGCTTAGGACAGATATGTTTTTACAAGCGAAATATTAGATTATAAAATTGTGTAATTGAAAGTGTAGTTTTGAGAAGTTAGAACACCTGGTTTAGGCCCCTATTCCTCTTCTTTTTGGCTAGGAATTTTTGGGATTTCTCTCTGCATTATTGTTTCTATCTATGAAATAATAATAACCACAAATGCTGATATATTGCTTACGATATGCTAAGCAAGGAGCTCTGCTGGTGAAATGGTTAAGTGCGCAGCTGTCAACCAAGAGGTGGGCAGTTCAAACCCACCCAGTGGCTCCTCAGGAGAGAAGAGCTGGCAATCTGCTCCCGTTACTGCCCGATGAGGCAGTTCTGCTTTGTCACATGGGGTCGATAAGAGTCGGAATCGACTTAACAGCACCCAGTAACAACAGCAACATTGCAGTTTCTACCCTACCAGCTGATGGTCACTTTTGTGGGAAGGTGAATGCCATTGGCAACCACCGCAAAGTCTTTTAATTGATCAAATTGACCAGAATAGCCGCCTTGATTCAATGAGATCATCAGCTAGTATATGACTCAAAACAGGGCTTCTTTCTTGAGCTTTGATTTGACTTGGCGAATAAAATGTGCTCTGTGAATGACTCCTCAACCCATGAAAGATAAACCAGTACCAAGTGCCCTGCCTGTATATCCCATGAACCCCGGCATCTCGATTCTAATCAGATACTGTACTGATTCAACTCAAACCCCCCTTCCGTGCTATTGGAAGTTGGTAAAGCCACAGAAGGCAGGCTGGTATCATTTCTGATAATGACATATTCTTCCCTCACTACGTCCTCTGGGCTGGCACTGAAGTTCTTCCAGGAAATGCTTCCACAAAATACTCCACAAATTCACTAGCACAGTAAAACCTGTGGAAGCTGGAACCTGTGTAAGGCAGAAACCTGTCAGAGAAGGAAAACTCATATTTTCCACTAAAACGAGTGATAGAAAAGTGTAAGACTGCAGCCTGTCAAAGGTGGAAAACTTGCGAGACCCGGAATAACAAGGCAGTCTTGTTGAGTGCCGGCTCTCACAGGTTTCACTGTACTTCTTACCTCTGGGCAACTGTCTGGCTACTCCTGAATGGAAAGTGACTACCTACTGTTAAGTTACCAATTCCAAGCACTAGCCTTTGTTCGAGACGGGTTTTAAAGGAATATGTTTTTACTAAGGCTACTATTTTAGAATGTCAATTTGAAAGTGGAAAAGTTCCACTTGAGCACTGTGAGTTTCTAAATTAAGTACTTAGAGCGGCCTTTGGGAAGATATTAAGTCCCATCATGTCGCTAACAAGAAAAAAGAAGTAAGTTAAAAAACAAACAAAAAAAATGCCACATATGTTACATAGGTGTATGCATTTATCAAAAATTATTGAGCTGTACATTTAAAATAAGTGCATTTTAATTGAATGTAAATTATACTGCAATAAAATCTGTTTTAAAAGTAAAAAGAAATAATGTCCATCCATGGAAAAGTCACCGTTTGCTCTCCTCTTGGGTTTTACACAGGCCCGTTTGCCTGTGAAATGGATGGCCCCTGAAAGCTTGTTTGAAGGGATCTACACGATTAAGAGCGATGTCTGGTCATATGGAATATTACTCTGGGAAATATTCTCACTTGGTATGTTTTGCAGTTTGCTGGCCTCCCTTGGAACTGAGCATTTGTGCTTTCTGTTAGCTCTGCCCCCTGCTGAATGCCCCCTCAACTTTGCTAATGCCTGAGTCAAAGGCTGGGTTAAACGCCACCTCGAATGTGCTTCCATAGTTCCCTAGTCTTACTTCTGCTGTAGCATGTGAACATATTTCTTCTTTCTTTTTAATTTTACTTATTTTATTGTTGTTGAGAATATATACAGCAAAACATACACCAATTGTGAATACATGTACAATTCAGTGACATTGATCACATTCTTCAAGTTGTACAACCATCTTTACACTCCTTTTCCAAGTTGTTCCTCCCCCATTAACATAAACTCACTGCCCTCTGAGGTTCCTATCTAATCTTTCATGTTGCTGTTGTCAATTTGATCCCATATAGATGGATCTTAAAAGAGCATAATGCTCAAGGCAGACATTTTTTTACTAGTTAAGCCATTGTTTTATTTTAAGAAGACTTCAGGGGATATTTTTGGTTTAAGGTTTAAAGATTATCTCAGGGCAGTAATTTCAAGGGTTCATCCAGCCTCCACGGCTCCAGAAAGTCTGATTCCATGAGAATTTTTAAATCTGTTCTACATTTTCCCCCTTTTGATCAAGATTCTTCTGTTGAATCTTTGATCAAAATGGTCAGTAATGGTAGCTGGGCACCATTTAGTTCTTCTGGTCTCATGGCAAAGGAGGCAATTGTTCATGAAGGCAGCATGTGAACATATTTCATTTGCTGGTGTCTGTCTTCCCCAGGGGAGTGGTGGTTCAGTGGTAAAATTCTTGCCTTCCATGCAGGAGATGAGGGTTCAATTCCCAGTCAACGTACCTCATGCACAGCCATCATCTGTCTGACGGTGAAGGCTTGTGCGTTGCTGTGATGCTGAACAGATTTCAGCAGAGCTTCCATGCTAAGATGAACTAGGAAGAAAAGCCTGGTGATCTACTTCTGAAAATCAGCCAGTTAAAACCCTATGGATCACAGTGGTCTGATCTCATTGTGCATGGAGTCACCATGACTCAGGGATGACTTGACAGCAGCTGAAAACAACAACGTCTTCCCCACTGGCCTCTAACTTGCTTGAGAGCTGGGACTGTGACTTCACAGGTGTAGCCCTAGCACCTAGCAGGGCCTGGCTCATAGGAATTCTCAGTAGATGTTTGTTGATTGGCTGAATGAATAAACAAATAATCAAGGGATGAATGACTATGGTTCTCTAATGTTTTTCTCAGGCGTGAACCCTTATCCTGGCATTCCAGTTGATGCAAACTTCTATAAACTCATTGAGAGTGGATTTAAAATGGATCAGCCATTTTATGCAACAGAAGAAATGTAAGTTTAAATCAGACAGTAAATTGGCTGCAATCTGAAATTTAGTCTAATTTCAAATGCGTGACAAAAGAAGTAAAAACCCTTTAATGCAAGGTTTATATGATTTTAAAAAAAGAAGGAAAGAAAACCCTTTCTTTTTGTTGTGAGTCTTAGAAGATGATTTCTGAACAAAACAGAAGCCTTCTCTGTCTTCAGAGGCACTTAATTCCAGGTTTCTGTTCCTTTGCTTGAGGGGTTTGTGAGGGTGATTCCACTCTATCTTCTGACTTCTGTTCCATGTTATGTTTCTTTAAATGCATTTCCGCCCATCATCTAGGAGCCCCTGGGTGGTGCAAACAGTTAAAACGCTTGGCTGCTAACTGAAAGGTTGAGGGTTCAAGTCCACTCAGAGGGGCCATGGAAGAAAGACTTGGTGATCTGCTTCCAAAAAATCAGCACTGAAAATCCTATGGAGCACAGCTGTCCTCTGACACACATGGGGTCGGCATGAGTCGACTCAGTGGCAACTGTTCTTTGGTTTTTTTTTTTTTTTTTGCCCATCACCTAATTTCTCATTTGTGATAATGGATTCACAATTTATGGTAGAATTCTTACCATAAAACAGACGTGCCATAAGTAAATATTTTCACAGTAATAATGGTGTTTCATTATGCGGAAGATGATCCATTTTGATTCATTCAGATTTACTCATCTTGCTCCTTGTTCTACTGCTTTTACAGATATTTTATTATGCAATCCTGCTGGGCTTTTGACTCGAGGAAGCGGCCGTCTTTCCTTAACCTGACTTCATTTCTAGGATGTCAGCTAGCAGACGCAGAAGAAGCGGTAGGTAGCAGCATTGTTGTTCTTGGGTGCTGTCAAACTGACTCTCACTCATAGCGATCCCCTGTGACAGAGTAGAGCTACTCCTTAGGGTTTTCTAGGCTGTAATCTTCATGGGAAGAGATCACCAGGTCTTTCTCTTGAGAAGCTGCTGCATGGGTTCGAACCACCAGCCTTTCAGCTGAGTTGCACCTGAGTTAGCAGCTGTTGCGCCACAAGGGCTCCACTAGGGCTCCTTATGTAGCAGCATAGGGCTTTATGAAGCATTAGTATAAAGGAAAATGGTAATTCAAAACACTCTCTGATGGCTTCCTAAGAACCAAAGGTACCAAGTTGTCTTTCTCATCACAATTTGTCTTGGTTGCCCTTTAAAAGTTGTATAGGCCATGAGAACCGAAGCCTCTTCTAGCTGAGACCAGAAGAACTAGATGGTGCCTGGCTACCACTACCAACAGTTTTCTGACCAGGGGCACAATAGAAGGTCTTGGACAGAACGGGAGAGAAAATGTAGAATAAAACTCAAATTCCTAAAAAAGCCCAGACTTAATGGACCAGTAGAGACTAGAGGAACCCCTGAGACTATTGTCCTAACTACCCTTTGAACCTGGAACTGAAGCCACTCCTGGTGGTCATTTTTCATCAAAATAAAAGATTGGCTTATAAAATGAACAACTTCATCTGTGAATATTGTTGTCACTTAAATTAATCAACCATATTAAACCAAATGGTCAATATTTACCCTAAAACAAAGATGAGAAGCTAAGGAGGGGCAGGGAAGCTAGATTAATGGAAACAGAACAAAAAGAATGGAAATATTGAGAATGTCTACATAGTGTGAAAAATGTAACCAACTCATGGAACAAGTTGTATAAAAATTGTTAAATGGGAACCTAACCTGCTATGTAAGCTTCACCTAAAACACAATTAAAAAAAAAAAAAAGGTTGTATAGGGTGAGAAATAGTTATTGATAAGTGTTTTTAGAAAAATGGCTTTTTCTGAAGATTTCCATAAATCAAGAGCTCTTAAGTGTCCCATGTACAGGACTAGATAACAAAACAAAACTTACTCTCTGATCTCCAGAAGCCACTAACCTTTCCTAATTCAACATGGTGCTTGAGTATAGAAGAATTACACAAAACAATTGTGTAATATGGTAGAGTGGAAAGAGCGTTGACTTAGAATCATGAGAGTCAAATGCCAGCTCTACCTCCTAATAGTGGTGCCAATTATGGCAAATCACTTTACTTCTCCAGGCCTCAGTTTTATTATCTACAAAATGGGCTGCTAAAGGAACTCAAGATTCTTGGTAACTTGGAGTTACCTTGCTAACTCTTCCCTACCAACACCACCTGGTGTAGTGAAAGCTGTCCCCAGATGAGATAAACAAAGGTTGGGATCTTGAAATCCCTGTAGCTGGCTTCAAATGTTGGCTCCATTGTTACATGACCTGATCTCTTTTAGGTCTCACTTTCCTGGGATTAACAAATCATACTTTATCGGGTTGTAGGAAAGAGTGAACGAGATGACTTATGTGAAAAGACTTAGCATGTAGTGGGCACTTAGTATCTACTCAATACATATTAGTTAAATATGAATCTGATTCCATAAATGTCTCTCCTCCTTTCTAAAGTCTTTTTTTTTTTTTAAATAATATTTTATTGTGTTTTCAGTGAAGGTTTACACAGCAGTTTTGGTTCCCATTCAACAATTTCTACACAAGTTGTTCAGTGATATTCAGTGACAAGGCGTGAATATTCTCATTATTTCCATTCTGGTTGTTCTGTTTCCATTAATCTAGTTTCCCTGCCCCCTTACATTCTCAGTTTGTATTAAAGTAATTGTTGAATGCCAGGTGATTTTTTTAAAAGAGCACAGTACTTATGGGTGATGTTCATTATTTTTTGAGCCAATTTGTTATTTAGCTACAAGGTGACCTCAGGGATTAGTTTTGATTCAAGGTTTGAAGAGTATCTCAGGACGATAGTCTTGGGCAGAACTCTATCCTTGACTGGTCCAGTAATTCTGAAATTTTTAAGGATTTGAGGTTCTGTTCCACATTTTTCTCCCATCCTATCAGGGTCTATCTATTGTAGGCCTGATTATAATGCTCGGTAGTTGTAACCAGGCACCATCTAGTTCTTCTGGTCTCAGGGTAGATGAGGCCGTGGTTAGTGTAGGCTACTAGTCCTGTAGACTACTTTCTTCTCTGAGTCTTTGGTTTCCTTCTTTCTTGTCTGCTGCAGACAAGTAGACTCTTTTCTAAATCCCTAAGAGTCCATTTTCAGTTCTGTACTCTCTCCACGGACGTGGGTACATGGTGTGTCTCCTTTCCTCCTGTTTTGATTTGGTGTTTTAATCACATAGGAACATGCAGTTAATGTCAGGGAATTAGATCAAAAAGATTGAGGGGGTAAAAAACCCCCAAAACTTACATTCTATTGGACAGAGGATGCTATAAGATGAACTGAAAGAAGAGCTATAGAAAGGAGTAAGAAATGAGCTGCTGGAGTGTAGCTAAAGGCCTGATTAATTTTTACCTGGGCTGTCTGGTGTAGGTTCACAGAAGAGGTGTCATTAGAGCTAGGCTGTGAAGGATGGGTAACATTTTGGCTTTTGGAAAATGGGTGGTTGAGGAGGGTGTTCCAGGCTGAATGAATAATATGAACAAAGGAGCAAAGTTGGAAAAGTAGAATGGAAAATAACTGGATGTGGCCGGCGTACAGAGTGTGTGGGAGTATATGAGAGAAAACAAGACTGTAGAAGTAGTGTAGACGTGGTTCAGTGGTAGAATTCTCGCCTTCCGTGCAAGAGACCCGGGATCAGGTCAAGACCAGCGCACCTCATGTGCAGCCACCACCCGTCTGTCAGTGGAGGCTTGTGTGTTGCTATCATGCGAAATAGGTTTCAGCGCAGCTTTCAGACTAAGACAAACTAGGAAGAAAGGCCTGGCAATCTGCTTCTGAAATCAGCCAATGAAAACCCTGTGGATCACAACTTAGTTCCTTTGTGCATGGGGTCCCCATGAGCCAGGGGCCAACTCAACAGCAGCTAACAACAACAAAGGTGTGTAACTATGGAGGAGGGGCCACCGCTGCTGAAGAACCTCCTGGTTCTGTTCAGGACCGCCTTGGTCTTGGGGTAAAGTGAGGCTCTCCTTACATGTCCCCATACCTGCTGGGCATCCAAATTTCCTACCCTCTATTGAGGGGACCTTAGGAGACCTGATGGAGTAGTGGTTAAGCACTCAGCTGTTAACTGAAAGGCCAGCGTTTTGAACCCACCATCTACTCCGCGGGAGAAAGATGTGGCAGTCTGCTTCCATAAATATTAAAAAAACAAAAATTGTTACCTTCGAGTCGATTCCGACTTATAGTGACCCTATAGAACAGAGTAGAACTGCCCTGTAGGGGTTCCACGGCTGTAAATCTTTACGGAAGCAGATTGCCACATCTTTCTCCTACAGAGAAAGACGGTGGATTCGAACTGCTGACATTTTGGTTAGCAGTTGAGTGCTTACATACTGCGCCACCAGGGCTCCTTCCTATAGGGCTACAGGGTACTCCCTGACCCTCTGGGATGGAAGGTTGTTTTCCCTACCAGTCTCACAGGGAGCACACAGTAGCTCCTTTAAGTGAGTTAGAAAACGGTACCCCTCTGCGTGGGATGCATATAAAGAGGAACTCCCTACTCCCGGCCGATACAGGCCTGCTCTAGTCTAAAGGCCTGTGGAGCAGAGCACAGACTGAGTTTCAGCCCCCATGCGTCTGTTTTGCTGGGCAGTTTTGTGCAAGGCACACTCTACACAACCAGGCCAGGCAGCCTGCCCGTTACGAGCAAACCCTTGCTTCTCCAGCCCATCCTTTTTCCACTGTTGAAGTTGCCACCCCATCTTTTCTCCTCAGCACAGTCTTCCCTTGGATGGGAAGAACTGGCCTTGCCAGCATGCCTGGGGTAATTTTCTCTGGTTCTTTTTTTTTTTTTCTTTTCTTTAAATAATATTTTATTGTGTTTTTGGTGAAAGTTTATACAGCAAATTAGGTTCCCATTTAACAATTTCTACACAAATTGTTCAGTGACATTGGTTGCATTTTTCACAATGTGTCATCATTCTCATTCATTCCCTTCTGGTTGTACCAATTCCAGTACTCTAGTTACCCTGCCCCCTTACCTTCTCATCTTTGCTTTAGAGTAATTGTTGACCGTTTGGTCTCATACAGGTGATTTTTTAAAGGAGCACAGTACTCATGGGTGATAGTCTCTATTTTATGAGTCAATCTGTTATTTAGCTAAAAAGTGGCCTCAGGATAATTTTGGTTCAAGGTTTAAAGAGTATCTCAGGGTAATAGTCTCAGGGAGTCCCCTAGCCTCAACCAGTCCAGTAAATCTGGACTTTTTAAGAATTTGAGTTCTGTTCCACATTTTTCTCCCATTCTACCATAGTGGCCCTGATCAGAGTGGTCAGTAGTGGTAGTGGGACACCCTCTGGTTCTTATGTTGATGGTTTTATACAATCTTTGTTTCTACTTCATTGTGGACTGTTGTTGTTCGCTGCCATTGAGTTGTCCCCCAACTCATAGTGACCCCTTGTACAGTGGAACAAAATGCTGCCTAGTCCTGCACCATCACCATGATCAGTTGGATTGAACTGTCGTGAGCCATAGGGTTTTCATTTTCAGAAGTAGATCACGAGGCCTTTCTTCCTAGTCTGTCTTAGTCCGGAAGGTCCACGGAAACATGTTCTGGATCACAGCAACATGCAAGCCACCAATGACAGATGGCTGGTGGCTGTGCATGAGGTACTTTGGCTGGGAATTGAACTTGGGTCTCCTGCATGGAAGGTGAGAATTTTGCCGGTATTAGGCTGGGTTCTCCAGAGATGCAAAACCAGTAAAATTATAAATATACATAGAGAGAGAGATATATCAAGGAAATGGCTCACGTGGTTGTAGAAGCTGGAATGTCCCAAGATCGTGGGTCAAGATAGAGGCTTCTGATTCACGTA